GTGAGTTACTCTGGGAGTTTCTGAGACCAAACCCAGTTGCAGCTTGCTTACGTTGCTGCATTAAGGCAGGATCAGACTTGACACTAGCTGTTTCCCGCAGCAACTGATATTCAGTGGCATTCCACTTCTGAAGGTGGAAGCTCCATTCAGCCAGCAAAGTACACACCCACTGATAATCCTGTCCTCCGTTGATTTGATTAATCCTTGCAAAGGAGCAGCTAATAACCAACCATCAGGAGGCTGGCAAATCAGCCATATAAATCATGCTTCTCCAAAATAAAACTGGATTCAAATTTGCCGTCCGAACAGCCTTTAGGTTCCAGGGGAAACAAGCCTTCCTGCAGAGCAAGTTCTATAGTTTAGGTGCTGCAGGAGAGAAGGCCCTGCTCTGCCTAACTGCCCTAACTATCCAGGCTCATAGTCATCCTTTCTTAAAAGCTCTTTAATGTGGACTTAAAATTCTGAATTACTAGTTTATGTTTTCAGTGTCCATTTTAAAAATGTCTGCTTTTCTTAGGGTCACTTCTGGAAGCTTGGTTAGCCCTACCATCAGAGGTAAAGTCTTATCCTGTAAGAGCATGGGTTGCCTGGCATGAGTAGCAAGTGGTGAGAGTTCCAACAATCCACCCTGGAACCAAAACCGGAGGAGATAAAAGGCATCTGAGCCATATGCATTGAATGTAGCTGGCTACAAAGGGAAGAGCTCAAAGCAACTCAGTAATGGAGCATGGAACAGAGAAGCGCAGCACTCCAAGTTCCACCTAACCAGGAGAAAACCTCCGGCTGCTAGTCTTTCGGAAGCTATGAATTGGTTTGATGAAAATATTATTGCCTATGTCCCACCCTTCCCCTGGATGACTCATCAGTAGCTAAGGAATAGTGCTGAATCATCAGGATTTCCCTATGCACCGCCTGCATAGAAAAAGTCAGAGTACTTATCTGGTCCCTCCTTGGCAGAGGGTTTTCAACTCTGAGGTAGAGCCTAGAGTTCTCCAGGAATTGCAACTGATCTCCAGATCGTACAGAGATCAGTTCCTCTGGAGGAAATGGCAGCTGTGGAGGGTGGACTCTATGGCATCGTATCTCCACTGAGTTCCTTCCCCTGGCACTGCCCCCAATACCTCTAGGAACATCCTAAGCCAGAGTTAACAACCTTACTCTTGGCACTGGTATAATCCCCATATGTGGGAAAAGAGAAGGAAAAAAGTCACAGCATGTAATTGCTTGGTTCAGCATGCCCAAGAGCACACCGACCCATTTCAAGGAAGATTCAGGGTAATACCAGAGTCAGAAAAAGCAACAACACATGGGGTCCCCAAATCCATTTACAGATCACTAACTGGCCATCACTGCAATAAACAATCTTATAACTATCATCGTCATAATTTCTTATTATTTATTATTATTACTATCCATAATGGACGGTATAAAAGGACATGTTTGTTTTATCATACCAGACTAACAAGGACAGAGCCATTGTGCATACGGGGTATGTGCATGTTTCCCGTCAAGAAGGGCAAATGGGAGAACATTAAAATGGGCAGCACATATACTAAAACTGGTACAATGCAGAGAAGATTATCATCTTATAACTATTGTTAAGATGAAATACATGATAAATATGAAGTCTCCTCCATACCCTAATTGATGGCCTCAGGAGCCCATATTTCCAAGGAGTCATAACATCAGGCAGAGAAATCTGACAGGGCTTAACCAGATGTGACATTTTCCATGGGTACACTTACAGGTACACCTAAATGTCATATTTTGTGTACCATGTGGAAAATGTCACAACTCGTTAGGCCCAGAGGCATGCAGCTTAGGAAGCTTTTGTTCTGTTATTTCTGCCTTAGTGACAAGAGAAGGTGGGAGGCACAGAATAAGAAAGGTAGAAAGTAATAAACAGAAATAAACAGAGTTAATTGTATCCATAGTATAAACATAAAAGTAGTTAATACTTTAATCATGCAATTCCATGATGCTGCTAATTTTGCCTAGAGAGCTATAAGAAACTGATCAATTCCTGGCACTGGTATTTTATTTATTTATTTATTTTATTGGATTGATGAATCGCCCATCCTGTGAGCAGACTCTGGGTGATTTACAACCTTAAAACATTTAAATACAGTTGACATATAATTAAAATTATCCCAGTAGAACAAAAATTATAATTTAAAATCATTCCAAATGGCATAATAGTACTCATTTGCCAGTCACATCGCTGTCCTACATGATAGAGCAGGGTATGGGGGGCCATAGAAGAAAAAGAGAGGGTGCCAGTCCTACTCTCCCATTCCTGTCCTCAGCTAAAAGCCTGGTGGAACATCTCTGCCTTACAGGCCCTGCGGAATTGCATCCAATCCCAAAGGAGCCTGATGCTGTTTGGCAGAGAGTTCCACCAGGTTGGGGCCAGGACCAAAAAGGCCCTGCCCCTAGTTGAGGACAGCCGGACCTCCTTAGGGCTGGGGATCACCAGCAAGATGTTATCAGCTGATCTCAGCCTGCTTTTGGGGACATATTGGAGGAGATAGGCCCTGCAATACTGGCAGAGATGCATGGTTGTACAGTGGCCAGAAATGTGAACCACTGTGAGTACAGAGGGGGGTACGGAGGGGGGCGGTTAGAACATATTCTAAACTCTTCCACCCAGGGTCCCATTCTTGATGATGCCGTAACATGATGCTTTCTAAAAAGATGGTGTAAGTTAAAGTACTGTCATTGAACTCAATGAAGAGAAAAACATGACCCCTCACTAGAGTTCCAGGTGGTGGCTGGAGATCTCCTGGGATTACAACTAATCTCCAGATGACAGAGATCAGTTCACCTGGAGAAAACAGCTGCTCTCCTATCCAAACCCCACTCTCCTCAAGCCCCACCCCCCAAATCTCCAGGTATTTCCCAACCCAAAGCTGGCAACCCTACCCCTCACACCTTTTGATCTTCCTGTACTTCTCTGATGAGACAAAGGATGCTACTTATTCTGTACAGTAAACAAAAAGCAGCATATAATTCCCTGGCAGGCCACCCATATCTCAGATGACAGGACGTGCAGCATGAGACTATTTTACTCTAGCCTAATGTCAAACAGATGTTGAGCATATAAGTGGGAACTCTGGTGATTAGAACTCTGGAGAGCTCTGTGTGCGCACACAAAAGAACACATTGCACAAACAACCAAGGCTAACAAATACAAGACAATCGTATTGCTAACACTGTTTTCTCAAAATGCTTACAGAACACAAATAATGAACAGGAACCAGTAGTTCAGCCTTCGGACTAGATGCTGTCCGTTGCGGCTACTGCTCATTTCTCATGACTACCCTCTTCATTCCCTTGGCTCTTAGCAAGATGCCATTAAACAGGTGCAGAAGGATGTTCCCTCCTCCCTCCTAGATTCTCCTTCCAACTAACTAACTTCCTCTTACTGGAGTCCATTTGAAAGTCTCCTTTGAAAAATAAGCTGCATTCAGGCATGGCAATAATTTTTGGTGTATAAATCATGATTTGATAAACCCCCATTTTTTTCTGAATGCAGATGGTTCAACACAGGTTGCGGTCACACGCACCAATTGGAGCGGAGGGGAAGTGAGGCTATTCCCTCCGGAGGAATTTGACCTGCAGTTGCGAGATCACACATCCCCTGTGTGCTGCAGGTGCAGCCCGTCACTGTGTGATCAGACGCACCGCGGGTGGGTCTCTCTTTTTTGCTGTTTGTTAACCATGCACATAAGCAAGGAATCGCACCTCTGCACTGAGGGTTCCCCATGGCGCATGCGATTATGTGCATACTGCGAGGGGGGGGGGAACCGGCACCGAGTTGGGATGCCCTGATCAGACCATCCCAGTGGCATGAGTGCCTTCTTGCATGATCAGACAGGGGAAAGTCTGTCCGTGGCCCGTTGGAACCGGTTTAGAACTGGACTCAACTCTGCTTCCATGGCGGAGCAGCACGGGTTGCTGATGACTGTGGGATGCTTCCCAGATGTTGCTGTCTGATTGTTCCCTTTAGATCCATCAGGCCTTCGCACCTATGTCAGATCTAAAGGCGCGTGTGATCACAGCCTAACTGTAGTTACTTGGTTTGTACAAAATGGGCTTTCAAACTAGGATTTGTAAGATTTTTTTTACCACGGTTGATTTATGAGATCACAAATCACAATCTGTTGAATAACACTGCTCTTCACAGATGTCTGGATGAAGAAATGGATGTATAAAGAGGATGTTCTCTTTGATGGAAGATGGGAAAGAGGCAAACCAGAATTAATGCACCAACTGGAATTTCTTACTTAGAATAACAGACTAACCAGAAACACGGTAAAACTAATCAGGGATTATCACGATGTTTGAATGTATAGATAGACCCTAAACACTGTCAGAACCTTACAAAACTTAATTTAAATTCCTTTGATATTCTGGTCCTGCATAAAGATGTACCTTACTCGAAAGACAAACTGGCAATATTTTAAGATGGAAAATATTTTTTCACTATTGCTTTGACTTTTGCAACCTTGGTAGAACTTGCAATCTAAGAACCCAGCCTTAGAGTAATTCTAAAAACTTTATATCATCAGCAGGGTTCCCTGTTTCTTGCTGTTACAAACACACTGAGTGTAAAGGAGAGATGCCAATCTCTAAACATATAGCAGTTACACACCAGAGCAAATTAAAGGGCAATCTCCCCCCCTTTTTTTCTTTAAAAAAACCTTGAGAAGTCAGTCTGAGTTCTGTGCAACCTGAAAACACATGCTACATTTTGAACAGTAAAAAGTACTTGGTGGGACCTGACCTGGATAGCCCAGGCAAAGCCAATCTCATCAGATCTCGGAAGCTAAGCATGGTTGACTCTGGCAAGTATGGGAGACCACCTTGGATGGGAGACCACCTTGGAATACCAAAGGCGGGAGGCAGGGGCAGGGGCAAGTCTTATTGAGCCACCTTTCTGAATATCCTCCAGACCCCCCCCCCAATGACTTCCAGGTGCTTTGTTTTGGATAACTTACTGTGGGGTATGGATGAGAGCAGAATACAGTGTACTTTCGGATGACACCATTCAATTTGATGGGTGGTAGCCAGGATACAAACACAGTGGAGGCCGAAGCTGCAGCTGCTTTGACTCCAGCAGGAGGACCTGGAACTGCAAAAAATCTTCCACTCATCCTCACAACAAGAACCCTTGAGGAAGGTTAGGCTGAGACAGAGTGACTGGTCCAAGGTCACTCAGCAAGTTTCCAGGGCAGAATGGGGATCTGAACCTGTATGTAAAATGCCATCAAGCCGCAGCCAACTTCTGGTGACTGTTACTATATGGACGTATGTTTGCATTTACTGTCTGTATTGTGCTCATGCCATGTTGATCAAATGTCTGTGTATCTGTGCTCTTGGGGATCCAGGGTTCACTGAATGTGTGTTTGCTGTTATGCGCTTGAATAAGCTGGCCTTACACCTCTAGCCGTCCATAATGGGCTTGCTGAGATGCCAGCTCTGCACAGATGCATCCCTGGAATTTTCCACTGTGCCCCTTGGACCAAGGAGGCCTCATCCCACCAGGCACCAGGAGGACATTTGGAGAAGCAACAGGCTCTTTTGGAATTGCAAGGACAGCATTCCTGAGCACCTATAAATCAGCCTCATCCTCTGCAAGTCCGAAGGTTGCCAAGGGAACGGCTCTTCGCACCGACCATATGGCCCCCTTTGAAGTTAGGGTAGAATATCTGCATATCGCCCCCCCCTCATTAGGACGTCACCCCCTTTTGGACCTATAGCCTCAGCATAGCTTTAGCATAGAGGACGAACCTAGGATTTATGGTTCTTAGGACCAGCCCAGAAACACAGCTTTTAAAAAGGAGAAACTCAGCCATTGTTCTCCCTCTTGCTCTCTCTTGCTCCTGCCTGCTTGCTTGCTCCTGCTCTCGTTCCCGGGAGTCATGACTCCAGGAACGCGCACGTGGTCTGGCCTATCCAACCCGTGTGTTTACAGAGCCACCCGCCTCTCCTTAAGCTGCCCCTTCTCTGCCACGAGGAGATTTCTTCTCAGCTTGGACCTCAGATAAGTATCGCGATATCCTGTTGTGTTATTCCCCTTGTCTGTAGCTTTTGTTATTTTCATTGCTGTTATTATTTTCCATGAACTATTGTAACTAAGGATCTTGGGAGAATCTGTGTGTGAAATCTGTATTCGTATGCTTGAGAACTGTTTAGTAAAGACAACTTGATTTATAAAACCTAGCTGTTGTCTGATTCTCTGGGAACTAGCGAGCCTTCAATGGGCCAATCTGACCTCTGTATACACGGGTTTTGAACGCACCCCCCCCCCGCCTCTGTACTCAGAGTCAATCCGGGCTCCCAGAACCGGTTCCGGTCCAGTTCGGGTAACAGATTTGGTGCCCCGTGTGAGGCTCGAACTCACGACCTTCAGATTCGGGTAACATGACCCTGTAGAGTTTTCAAGGCAAGTGACTAAGCAGAGATGGTTTACCATTGCCTTCTCTGCAGTCTTACTTGGAGGTCTCCTACTTATATTCCAAGATCTGTACCATTCCACATGCTGCTGGCTGTCATATAAGTATGTAATAAATATAGTTACAAGAGGAGAAAGAAACTAACATAGAAAGAAACTAACATATACAATTCCTTGTACTGAGTGGGGATGATTTTTGCAGAAACTACCAATATGGAATATATGGCTGCATCAAGAATTTGAAATTAAATTTCCACTGAATCTAGAGACAATGCTATTGGTAATGATTCCAGATAATGTGGAAAAAACATCACAAGAGTTATTCAGATATATGTTAACTGCAGCAAGAGCACAGTTTGCATCTACTTGGAAAGCAGAAGATTGCCCAATGAAAGAAGCCTGGTGTGACAAATTAGCTGAATATGCTGTAATGGCAAAATTAATGAATCAGGTAAATAAAAGACCAATGAAAGAATTCCAGCAGAAATGGAAAGCGCATTACTCATATTATGGTATGGCATAGTGTCTCAGTACAGGTGATACCTTGAGATTATTTCAATGGTGAAAAATAATGTTTTCCTCAGTGACACTCTGTCTAGAATTCATTCTTTTGAAAATCATCCACCAAACACATTGCTTGAACCAAAAAGTGTACATGACTATGCATAAGAATGCCATTATATACTAAATGTCAGTTCTCGAAAAACCAACTCTGATTAAAGTTCTGTTCAGACAACATAGCAAACCTCTGTTTTGCCCCTGATGTTCCATGCTCATGTGATGGCTTCTTCCCTCCATCTATTCTTCATGAGAGGAGCTTAACTAAGGACTTCCTGGCTTCAGAAGCCTTCAATAACATTTGCCAAGCTGTCTAAAGGCAGCCCCCTGGCCAATTGGAGTTTGCTTCCCTCAACACAAACTAGGATTTAAAACAGAGATTAAACAATGCTTTACAATCCTGGGAAGTGGGGGCATGCAAGGATGGCAATTAATCATATTTATGCCCATCTTGAAGAAACTGAGCTTTGCTATGGTGTCCGAAGACTGCATAAAGGACCTACATTTTTATTCTTTAATTAATTTTAAGCTCCACTTAGCACCCAAAGCAGGAACAAATTGTTACATATGCTGGGTTGGATCCAGACTAAATTGGCAATTCCCACTGACTCCCTCTTCCTGCTGCAGCCCCCCCCCCGCTTATGCTATTCCCCAGGATGCCCTATCCCCCAGGGGAGTAGCTTTTTGTGGAAATCAGAGGGCTGCAGTGGGAGGGGGGGGAGGCAGGAAAATCCATTCTGCCATTGGAAAATGTAGTCTGGATCCAATCCACTGTACCCATTCGCCTTGTCACAAAGAATTCTGCTTATTTAACAGGGAATATAGAATTTATAACACATGCAGGTAAGAAGTAGGAGCTGTAAGAGACAGCTCATTTTAAATCTTGGTCATCAGAAATGTTCTTTTTTTGTATAGAACCCTGCTTTTTCCAGGTGATTACTTGCCCTGATGGGAGATTTCTGTTATGATCTGCATAATATAGCCCTTCAAGTCCCCCCGGGGGGCAAGGAAACCCCCGCCCCAGAGGCCCGTTCCCCGCCGCCACCAGATCGGGCCCCGGGGGGAACTCCCCCCCGACGTGCACATCACCAGGAAGTGATGCGACCACGCCAGGCATGGCTGGGGGCGGGACCACGGCCATCCGAGGGAAAACTCTATGATTTTCCCTCGTATGGCCGTGGCCCCACCCCAGCGTGCCTGACGTCATCATGTCACTTCTGGGTGATGTGTGCGCACGCGCACCAGACGCCAGCCGGGACCCCCCTGCTCCCGGCGAAGATTGACTTGGCAACCCTAGCATAATATGTTAAGAATCAGTGGAACTGGACATGTGTTTAAAAGCAGTCTGATGGATATGGCCCACGGCCATCAAACCCTCTGGAATTTGTTCACATGGATTTAAGTTTCTGAAATCAAGACAGGCACAAAGAGAATTTTAATTTGCCATTATCTTTTCAGTATCTTCTTGTCTATAACTAGCATCTCTGTAGCCAACATTTCTCTCTACCTTACCTGCAGAGGAATGGGGCAAAGAGATCAGGGCCATGTATAATTGCAGCATGTCTGATGATCTCTAAAGCAACTTGCAATAACAAGGATGTGTGTTTGGGCTGTCAGTCAAAGAAATCACAGTCTGTAGTATCCTTTTCAATTTCACAATTCAATATTCACCACAGCTGAGACAGGAATGCTGCATGGCTTTCAGAACTAAGTTTTATCAGTCTTTAAGACGCCAGGGGACTCCTGTTTTTCATTTCTTGGAAATGATTAAAGAGTTCTGAAAATATTAACATATTTGCATATTGAAAGTCAATATATTTTTGCTAGTATTATTGAAATATTTTAATCAGGACAGGACTGTATGTGCATGTATATGGTAAACTGCAGGGGGAGACTGGCCATTAAGGCTGCCAGAAAAAGTCCTGGTGATCCTATGGCTTGGGAGGGTGGCCATCCCAGCTCCTTGCAAACCAGCAGCCCAAGCTTGTGTGGGGTGACAAAGGAGGCATTCAGCTGGCCAAGGAAGTGCCTGCCTGAGTTCCCCACAGCAAAGGAGGTGTGGGGTTTGATGGGCAGGATCTTTTTCCCTCCCTCCCTCTTTTGGGGAGGTGGGGCTGGGGCCCTTTTCCAGGACTGTTTTTTCCTCCTAGTCCACCCCTGGTAAACTGGCACTGCTGTGGAGAGCTGTGGAGAGCCAGTGTAGTATAGCGCTTAAGAGTGGTGGACTCTAATCTGGAGATCCAGGTTTGATTCCCCACTCCTCCTCCATATGAATCCTGCTGGGTAACCTTGGGCCAGTCACAGTTCTCTCAGAACTCTCACAGCCCCACCTACCTCACAAGGTGCCTGTTGTGGGGAGAGGAAGGGAATATGATTGTAAGCTGCTTTGAGACTCCTTAGGGTAGAGAAAATTGGGGTATAAAAATCTACTCTTCTGTAAAGGGAAGAGCACATTGTGGAGCCATTGTGACAGTTCAAAGCTTTGCCTGACTGTGCTATTTCTCAACTGTTTACTCAGCAACATCAGCATCTGCCACCACCAACTAGAGATCCATTAGCCTTTTTTTTTGGGGGGGGGTCTTTTTACTGGGATGGGGGAAGAATGTTCATTTATGGTATAGTCCCAGAAAGTTCCAAGGCCTCTGTCTTAGTCCCCCCCCCACACACACACATCTTCAAAAGAACATCACAGTGACCCACATCTCAACAGTGCTGTGAGGGTGCAATATAGTAAAGATGACAAATATTACCTTATTTCAAACATTAAAAAACCTTAAAAATTCACTAGGAAAACAGTTCAGGGCTACATCCACAACGTATTTTGCAGGGTGATCCACTTTTACTGGTGCCAGCTCCCAGAGGGCTTGCAGTTTTTTAATCCACAGAATGCAGCTTACTACATTTTAGGAAAGTATATATTCTCTTTGGTGATGGTGTAATAAGCAGAAAAACACCCAAATTTACAATGCAATTCAACACAGCCTTACTGGAATAACTTTTCATATGGTTTCACTGTTAATGGCTCATGAGAGTCAGACTGGAACAGCTTGAACAAAATACTCCTGCTGCACTCTTAGTATATTCAATTATCAACATTAACAAGCTATTAGAAAATTGGC